TGTTTTATTCTACAGATTTATGCTGAAGGAGACCTCTTGTCTTACCTACATCTGATTTAGAGTCTTTAGATCTGAGACTTCAGGATGGATGCTAGGTTGAGTTGGGACTTTTGAGTTGATGAGAATGTAATGAAAGTATTTTCCACATGAAAGGGATGGATGTGAATTTGGGGGAGGCAGAGGCAGAGGCAGAGTGCCACAGAAGACAGAGGATAACTTTGTCTCTCTCCAAACTTCGTAGGTTGACATCTTAATCATCAATGTGATGGCGGTAAGAGTGGGACCTTTGGGAAAGGACTAGGTGATGAAGGCAGAGCTCCACCAAATAGGAACTAGTACCAGAATGGAAGATGCTCTGGGACCTGGGGATGTGGTTCAGTGGCAGAGCACTTTCCCAACCTGTGCAGGGCTCTGGGTTCAATCCCCAGTACTGAAAAGCTGAAAATAAAACAATGCCTGGAGGCTTCCCTTGAGGCACGTGAGGACACAGAGAGAAGAATGAACCAGGAAGCAGGAGTTGCCAGATACTAAATGTGTTTCTAGCCTCCAGAACTGTGAGAAATAAGTTTCTGCTGTTATTAGCCACCCAGGCTAATGTGGTTTGTTAGAGAATCCAAATGGATGGAGGCATGCTCAGATCTTGAAAAGAACCTTCTGTCTGTTATGGGCTGTGGAAAGGAGGTGGGGGAGCCTGGCACAGAGCTGGTCCCATGGTACAGGTGAGAGAGGGTGGAGGTGGAGGACAACATGGAGTGTGAGAAGGAGGAGAGGATAAGTGATCAAACATGGCAATAGATTGGGTGGTGGGGTAGGGAGACAGGTGAGAGAAGTGACTCTGGGGCTGTGTCTGTAGGAATGGGTGGGTACTGGTGCCACACCAGAAGAGAATCAGGTCAGGGGTTCAAATTTGGGCTGGTCCCTGCTGTTTTGGGATGTCTGAGTGGGAGAGTCCTTTAGACAGACAGGGGTGTGAAGTTCAGAAAGGAGGTGGGAGTTAAGATGTAAATGTGAGTCATCTATGTGGGTGGAAAGGGAAGCCATTGGTGGAAGGGATTGCTGAGGAGAGCATGCAGCGTGGGACCTGAGTTCCTCCCCTCGGTGTAGAAGGTGAGCTAGTGATGTTGCTTGGTAGAGAGCAGCAGGACAGGTAAGTGGAGGACCAGACAGTGATGTCACAGAGAACTTGAAGGGCATTGTGAAAGATATACATGCTGTTTGGGGCTGTAGGTAGCAAGACCTGATTCAGATGACATAATAAAGACACTCATGTCACCAACCATGAAGTTTCAGAGTCCCCCCCTCCCCCCACTGGCTCCTGATATCAAGGACACAGACTTTTCTGTGGCCCTGGTTTGCCACTCACAGTGTAGGCTTCATGCTAAAGCTGATCCCTTTCGTGGTCATAGGATGGCATGATTCCCTGTTCGTGGTTCAGAGGAAGAGAGCCTGGACCACCTTTTCTTAGGACAGAGGAAACAGTGAAGCTTTCCATGAGCTTCTAGAAGCCCCTTCTTAAGTCTCACTGAGTGGGGTCGCTCCTGAATGGGAGGCACAGGTTGATGCTATTACCGCAGTCCAAACCATCCCTTTAGCTGGTGCCAGATTCCATAGCTGCCCATCAAGGAGGGTGGTGTGGACACGACATTTATAGCTGACTGAAGCAGCTGACAGCACCAGCATCCACCCCACTTCCTGGTGGGTGCTTTCTGTACTGAATGGTGGGAGAGATACAGATGCCCTTTTTTTCAGGCTTTCCTGTAGCAATTGCATGGATGGTGAATTAAGTCCTGCCAGACAGCCACACCTCCATGGGATCTGGATGGCAGAGGTGGCAGGGCTGTCTTCCTACTGCCATGGACTCCTGCTACTGTCATGACAGAGGTGCCAGCTTCTCTATGGCAGTGTTCCAACATTGAGCCATCTCTCCTTTGTTTCCGCCACCTGAAATGGATACAATGGAGGCCAGAGGTGGTCAGGATGGCGTGTAGCCCAAAATGCTGGGTGTGGAATGTTAAGGAATGCAACAGCTGCCTGTTCCTTCAGGACCCCTGGAGATTTGGAGGCAGAGATGCTCACAACTATGATCATTGTTGGAAACATCTAGAACACTGCTCAGCTACCTGCCCAGAGGTGTGAGAAAGGCAAAGCAGATAGGCGCTAGGGAAAGGGGCTAAAAATGGAGGACACTGCCAACCAAGGGAGGAAGCCCATAAAAAGGTGCCAGGGGAGGGGAGGTTGCACCCTACAAAACCCCATACCCTGCCTGGCATCTGAAAACATGCAAGCCTCACTTTTTGATGGGTCTGTGTTGGGGCTGGGGATTGGTGGCCAGGGCTGTTGGTTGCTAGTGAAGTGTTTAGTACTGCAAGAATGGATCTGTAGTTTAAAAGACCACCAAAGCAGCCTACAGGAGGGTGGACTGATGGTCAAATGTCCTCCTGAACACATCCAGTGACAGGTAGCACACAAGCTCAAGAGGCAGCCTGCTGAGTGTCTGCTTCATGCATAAGCAGCTAAAGATGGCTGGAAGGTGGACAGAGCAGAGAATGCAGTGAGCAGGACACAGGGCTGATAAACTGGCCATCAGTGGGCAAATGGGGCTCACTATTGCATCAGTTTGGCAAGTGCAGTTAATTTGAATTGCAGTTATTTATTTATTTATTTATTTATTTATTTTTTGAGACAGGGTCTTGCTATGTAGTTCAGGCTGGCCTTGAACTCACTATGTAGCGAAGGCTGGCCTCAAACTCAGTGAGCCTACTGCTTCAGGCTCCTGAGTGCTGGGAGTACAGGTGTGCAACACCTCACCTAGCCTGAAATGCAGTTCTTTAAGGCAAGACATACTTCCCAATTAATCACAGGCTCCACCATCCCCCAATGCCTTCAGGGACTTGACTTCATTTATGTATGTTATTAACCTAGCTCCTGAACCTTTACTTGAGGAATACCTAGAATTTAGGATGGCCAGTAATGTGGATGCCTAGGGATCCTAGTGGCAGCTGCAGGCTTCACAGGTGACAGAGGGAAATGGAGTGGAAGCATCTAGTAGTTCCTCAGAGTCCTCTCCTTCTTCACACCCCACATTCATTCACCGGTCTAGAGGCTCTGCTGAGTGGCCAAAGTCCCTTTAATATCCCTGAATTGCGTTACAATAATACTGCTGAAGGTGAAGAAGGGATGGAGGGGGGTGAATTGGGGGAAGAGGAGGCAGGGGGAGCGCCAAGCGCTCATACAAAATATGGCCAAAAAAGCTTAGCATGCATGGAAAATTATTGCTGTCAGAAGTTCCTATTTACAGGGTCGACACCTTCCACAATTGCTTCCACGACCCCTCTCTCCCACTATCCCTGCAGCCCCCTTTACAGTGGGCCCAAAAGTGGACCAAACTCTACACACCCCTCTGAAACTCTAAGAAGGACCCCTGTTGCAGGGGTTCCTCCACCTCTGCCCTCTCTGGTGGCTGGAGGAGGGGAAGAAGGTCAGAGAGACCAGGACTCCGCTTCCACCGAGGATTGGGCTCCCATGGTTGGGGGCAGAGGAATGTGCTTAAAGCAGAGGGGCCGGGTCATGCTCGTGGAGGTGTGTGCTTCGGTCCTCGCCCGCCCGGGCATGCAGAAGCGCAGCGGAGGAGGTAGTGGCAGCCAACGGGCGGGTGGCTGGCAGCCTGGCCCCTCTACCCGGGAGAGTTGCATAGACGTGGCCAAGGGAGAGCGCTGCTCCCAGGGAGGGGGTCAGAGGCCCCAGCGGGGTCCGGGGCTCAGTCGGTCCCTGGGGTCCCGCAAGAAGGGGAAGAAATAAGAAACGAGGAGGTTCCCATTTCCAGATTCCCTGGAGCAGGAGCAGAGGGCTCAGGAGGGTGAGGACCTGCCCCACTACAGGACCTCCTGGTGCCCTTCCCTGTCCGTTCTCAGAGCCCCTTCTGCACTGAGCACTGACGAGGGTGGGACTTCTCCAGAGACTGAAAAATTGGGAGGGGGCAGCTCACTATGGCCATCGCTGCCCATCTCCTTGCCTGGTTCCCTGACTTCCCAGACCAGCTGGGGAAGCCAGAGTGTCCCTGGGTGAAGCCAAGAGATTAGACAGAATAATAAATAGATAAATAAATAAATACACAAATAAATAATCAGAGGGTCCTAGCTGGATAAGGGGACAGGCCTTGGTGAGGGGCTCCAGGCCTCCCCCCAGCACATAAGGAGGGGTACCTGTAGTTCTGGGAACAGGGAAAGTGCTCAGAGAATCTAGGGAGGGGCCAGCGCAAGGCTGGGAGACCAGCCTACAGGTTATCCTGGGGTGAGGGGATTACTTACAGTAGGGGTCAGGGCCCTGAATTGCTCCTCAGCTCTGCTCTAAGTCAGGTGAACTCAGAGGGGTGCTAGACCGCTGAGGGTGCCTGGAAAGAGCAGGGAGTGGGAATGGGTGATGAGGCCCTCAACACAGAAGTACGTGAGAACCATGTGTGTGGGGGAGGGGGGTAGAGCTGGAATTAAGGTCCAGGCATGGAGGGCATGGGGATAGACTGGGGTCGCTAAGAACGGAGATTCAGCAGAGCAGCCTGAGGAAGGGCCTGGGCCTGGCAGTCCTGCAGGGCCTGTGTCCAGGTTGATAGGGAAACTGAGGCAGACATAGGCTTTGAGGGTTAAGTTTGGACCTCAGACAGGGTGCTAATAGAGGCATGGTCAGAGGCTCCGCTGGGAAGTGAGAAGGAAGGTTAGGAGGTCGGTGCAGGGTCTGGGCGGGCTCTGGGACCCAGGAGGGAAAGGTGCGGACCTGGTGCCTGAGTTGGGAGCCGTGAAGGCGTTGACTGGGGGGTAAAGGTCCGAGTGGTAGCCAGGAAGGTCGACGTGGGTGGGATGGGGGGGTTGGGAAGGGAAGACACTGCTGGAAGTTACAGATCTAGGGGCTGGAAAGTAAAGTTGGGGGCCGGAAGGGGGCGTCCCGTGGGCAGGGAAACGCAGCTGGGGGCCGGAGAGGGCGCTGCAGGCTCAGACCGTGGGGAGGCCTCAGCTGGCCGGGCCGGTGTGAGACGACGGGGGCGGTTCGGCGCCCTTGACGCAGGCGGCCTCGCAGTGCTTGTGGAGGTAGGACTTGAGCGCGAAGCTCTTGTCGCACTGGCGACAACGGTAGTGCTTGAAGGCCGAGTGCGTCTGCATGTGCGCGCGCAGGTTGGAGCGGTCGGCGAAAGCCTTGCCGCAGTGCGCGCAGCCGAAGGGCTTCTCGCCCGTGTGCGAGCGCATGTGGCCCTGCAGCAGCCAGGGCCGCGAGAAGGCCTTGCCGCACACGCCGCACTTGTGGCGCAGGTTGTGCGTGAGCACGTGCATGGCGAGCGCGGGCATGGACACGTACGCCTTGCCGCACGTCGGGCACTTGCGCGCCAGCTGGCTGTCCAGGCTGCGGTGTGTTTGCTTGTGGCGGCTCAGGTTCGACGACGTGGCATACGTCTTGCCGCACTCGGCGCACGCGTGCCGGTGCCCGCTGCCCGCAGGCGCCCCCGCGCGCCCCGCGCGCTCTACAGCGCCCCCCGCGCCCGCCGCGCTCCCCGTCTCCCCGCCCGTCCCGCCCCGCCGCCGCCGCGAGCGCCCGTCCGAGATGAAAAAGGCGTCCATGGAGTAGCTGTCGGTCACCGCCGCCTCCCCGCGGAAGTAGCGCGCCGACAGGCTAGACTGCGGGCTCTCGGGGTCGCTGTACTCCTCCGACGCTGCAGGCGGGTACACGGGCTCGGCGGGCGCCAGCTCCAGGCCGGGCTTCTGGTCCGCATCATAGCTGCTTGGGGGCAGGCAGTGTGGTACATAACCTGCAGGGACGAGAAGTGTTGGTGTTGAGGAGGCACCTCCATGTCCTGCTAGTCTGTGGTCTTGGGAAAGGATGGCGTGTAAGACAGTGGGCCCCAGGTCACCTCAACTCTTGGGTAAAGGTGCCGGGACCAAATCCATCCTACAGGGAGCACTGGGTCAGTACTATTGTCTCTCTTTCCTGTCTTTTTCTTTTTTTAAAAATTGAGATGGGGTCCCAGGTATTTCAGACCTGTCTTGAACTTTTGTGTAGTCCAGGTTGTACTTGAACTCGCTGTCCTGCTGCCAAAATCTCTCGAGTACTGGGTCCCAGGCCTGCTCCACGGTCCCAGGCCTGCGCCACCACACTGTTCTGTTGGCTTTGCATTCACTATCTTAAATGCTTACAACCATACAGCAAAGGTATTATTGCTGTCCCCACTTTGCAGGTGGAGAAAGTGAGGCACAGATGAAATCAGTTTGTAATAGTGGGCGGAGGAGCTAAAATTCAAACCTTGGTGCTTTGACACCAAAGCCCATTCTCTATTTTTCCCTCAAGAATATTCAGCTTTTGCAGTCCTATAGCTTCTGATGTTCTCAGTTTTCTTATCCACAAAATAGAGCTTGTGGCTCGGTGTGCTAGCAAGCATCTACATTCCTGCCTACTCCAGAAGCTGAAGTAAGAGGATGGTTTGGATCAGGAATTCAAGACCAGTCTGGGTAACATAGTGAGACCCTGGCCCCACTCACAAAAACAAAACAAAAAACTTGAATATGGAGTTTAGACCCACCCTTCAAGGATCATTGGCAGACCTGGGCGGATGTAGTAAACACGTGCAGTATCCTGCTCTTAGTGTATGCCAGGCTCTGCCTCAGTATTTTACACGTTAATTCATTTAATCATCACAGGAAGTAGGCACTGTTATAGTCCCCATTTTACACGTAAGGAAATTGAGAGAGTGAACAATAATTGCTATATAAATGTTAGCTATTATAATTATACCTTTTACTTGCTTGAAAAAGTGACTTCACTGATGATTATTAGATTGTCTGCCTCCCCTGCACTTCGAGCTCCCTAGGGCTGGCTCTGTGTGCCCAGCCTGGGCCTGGCTGCAGTGAATACATGTTGCACAAATGAATCCAAATTGCCCACTCCCAGGGTTGCTGGAGGACTTCAGAGGGGCCACGGGTGTGCTGTGTAGTAGCATCCAGGCCTGCCTCTTCCTCCCCCTAGTCCTGCTGGCTGGAGTTGGAGGAGAATCTGTCATGGTGTGAGGGTGTGGTGGGTGAACAGCCAGGGGGTGCCCCAAGGGATTCCTTAGGGGCTTCTGGAGGGCAGGGGATGTCCAGATTTGTCTCTGCCTCCCGTGGCCTTCTCTGGTCCTAGTCCTTTTTCTGGGGATGTTGGGGACTGGAATCCCAGGAGGGTTGGTGGCAGAACTTGAGTAAACTTGTCATCCTGGCACTTTATTACCAAGCATTTTCTTTGTCTGATTCTGGAGAACAATAGAAGTGAGCCCCCATTCTTGGGGCACACAGCTGAGTAGTTGCAAATCACATTCGACCCTCTCCACCTGACCTCTGAGATCTGTAGAACCCTCTGTAGACCCCTAAATGAAATGAGAAGGTGGAGAAGGGCTCTCTGTAAGCTATAAGGAGGATTCCATGACATTCAGACTTAGGCTGTATGCTCCGGTCAGCTTCAGTCTTTCCAGTGACTGGCTGACTCGGCCTCCGGGCCTGTGCCATCTGGCATTTGGGATGGTTACTGCTCTGACATGAAGGCAAGCGGGTGCCCTTTTTTTTCTCTGTTCCTTCAGCAGTCAGCACGATGGGAATTTTGGGGATGGGTGATTTAGTAGAGAACGGCTCTGTGGCCAGAAGTGTGGGAGGACCTAGTGGTGGCAGTTTACTAATCTGACATGCCCAATCTCTTAGCATCCCAGCTCCTCTCAGTCTGCCTTTGGCTTGGAGGACCCCCTCCTCTGCAGTGTTGCTTTGGACTGAGTTAAGTACTGAGTAGACCCCCCTGGGCCCCTCTCCCATTGTAGTTAGTGATGACGATGGTAATAGCTATGTTTATTGAGCACTTACTGTGTGCCAGGCTCAGCTGAGTGTTTCACTTCCATGCTCTTCCTATATCACCACAAATCTTATGACAGATCAGGAAACTGAGGTACAGAGTAGTGAGAAGACTTGTTCCGGGGATGGAGTAGGGATTAGAGTCCACTACATGTCTTCTCTTGTTCCCTGTACCTGGAAGGTCCCTGAGCAAGGAGCTGTGGCTAGGCTGCAGCCTCCTATCTGCAGGACCCCAGCCAATGGACACTCAGTAAGTCCTGTGAGATGGGTGATGTTGATTTGCAGGGCAGCCTTGGGTACCAGTCCAGGAGGACCTGTGGCAGTGATCCTGTCCACCAACCCTCAGGACAGTCTGTACTTTATATGGCCTAGGCTGTGGAAAGCAGAGAATGACTTGGTTCCCTAACATAGGTTCTGCCAGGGTGACCTTGGGTAGATCGTTACTCTTTCTGTTCATTGCATCCTCTCTTTAGAAATGAAGCTAGTGTGGGATCCACTTGGAGGAGGTAAACAATCATGTGACCAGGGCCTGCATGTTCTGTCATGAAGGCAAATGGTAGATTGGTTGAAAACACAACTTTGGTTGGTGCCAGACTACCTGGGTTGAATTCCAGTCATAGCATTCCTAACTGTGTAATCTTGGACAGACTCTCTGACTTATCTGTGCCTCTAGAGTTTTAGTAAGGAGCCACCAGGGAGTAGACAATGAACAACTAATATCTGAGACCCTGATCCATCAGAGCTTTGCACACCTGTATACATTCTACCCTCAGGACTGTGCCATTTTATAGACAAGGTCACCAAGCCCAAGAAGTTAAGCAGTGTGCCTCAGGCGGGCAGTGATAAGTCAGAGCCAGAATTCCAGCCTGAGCTTGGCACCTTGTAAACCTGCTGTACGTGTTGGCTGCTAGCAGTGATAGCAGTCTCCTCAGGTGGGGTTTCCCAGGCAGCAGTTCCTTGCTGTCCACCCTGACATGGTTTGCTGCTTCTCTCTGGGTGGTTTCCTCACCCGGGTATGTACTTCCCTGCTCATCTGATGGGAAAACTTCATGCAGAGCAGGAGCTCAGGAAACCAAGCTGCTCTTGCCCAAATGCATGATCTGCCACTGGCGCCCTTTGCTGGTGGCCAGAGGCTTTGCGGCACCTCACTCCTGATGCTGGCTCTTTCTACAGCAGTAGGGGTGCCCCAAACTAAGGCTGCTCATTTGCTTGGGGATATATGAAGAATTGCCTGCAGGGCTGGCATTGTGGGCCCTCTGATGTCTAGTGCCTGTGGAGTTCCAGATGGCTGGGGAACAGTGAATGAAAGTTGCGTGGTCATGTAAAAAGAAAGTGACTCTGATTTGCTTTGTGACCTTGGACAATTTACTTGATCTCTCTGGGTTCGGTGTGTACAGGAATGAGGCTGACCAGGATGTATGAAGAGTCTTACTGCATCATAGCAGAATAAGTCCTTCCATGCCTACCCCTGACTCCATTCTGGTCAGAGCCACCAACTTCTCCCTGTATGAGCTTGGGCAGGTTATCCAACTTCCATGTGGCACATCTAGATAAGGGAATTCACAGTAGGACTGTATGAGTTGATGCATGGGAAGTGCTTAGTGCAGCCCCAGCACATTGTTATCCCCACAATTTTTATTGGCATTGTTACTATTCCTAAATTTTCTGGTGATATCATTCTAATCTGCCAGAGGGTAGGGGATAAGTACAGGTGTCTTGTCTTGCTGTGACCTTGGCAACCATTTCATTTCTCTGGGCCTCAACTCTGGGAATTCCTTTGAGACACTATAAACCATGCTGTCACCCTGTACATGGGACCCTGTGCTAAAGGAAGCCTAGCTTGCATCTAGCCCTTGACCACAGACCCTAGCAGTGTGACCTAGGCAAATCTTACCACCACTCTGGACTGAAATACATCATTTGAGATAAGGTATAGGGCCCAGGCTTGCCTCTGTCATGTATGGCTATGGAGGAGGCAGCGTGCACATGTCACTTGAGAATGACTCACTTTCCCTGTCCAAGAGCCCTGGTGGAAGGTTCAGAAGCCATTTATTAAAATTTCTATTGCCAGGCTGGGGAGATAGCTTGCTGGCCTAAGTATAAGGACCCGAGTTCAATTTCTTGTACTTCATGCCATGCCAGCCCCCAAACCAGGCATAGTTGCATATGCCGGTAATCCCAGTCATTGGGAGGCTGAGACAGGAGGATCACTGTGAGCCCGAGCTGTGGTGAGACCCTGTACCAAATAAATAATAAATAAATAAATAATTAAAATTTTTTTTTTCTCATGCCAAAGGAGTGGTAAAGAAGGATATTTATGAGAAACTTAGGTGCTGGGTTCTCTTCAGACTTGCATCCCCACCTGCCTGACCCCTCTCCCCTGGGGTGAATGAGTCCATAACAAGTCCTACCATGACTACAAGCCCTCCTGCCCCAGCCCTTTCTGGGAGCCAGGGACACACTGTTCCCACGGCCCAGAGAGGGAGGGGAGTTTCTCCTGCCCATAGGAGTGGACGCAGGTTTGAACCCACCCAGGTCTATGTCTAACCTCAACCCCCAGAGCAGGCATGGAGGACTGCCGAGGGTGTGACAGGCCTTAGCTGGTTGAGAACTGTGTGGTTTTCCTTGAATAACACCATGCACTTGACCTGTGTCTTACAGGGTTGGAGCTGTTGGGGTAGGGAAAAAGCTGTTGTTCTAGAACACTGTCCAGTATGCTTTACATTTTTATAAGTAATGCTCAACAGTGATGACTGACAGTGAATTCTTACTGTGTCTCAGCTAAGTGCTAGATAGCAGAGTGCAAATCTAAGGTCATGTCCTCCTCAGCAGAAGCTGAGGTCCAGGGATGGGCCCTGACTGCCTTCAGGGCACAGAACAAGTTCTTGGTGGAGCAAGAGTGGCTTCCTTTTCTTAATGGAGCCAGTCTATGGCACCATTC